TCAGGACTGAACACAATGTCACCAAGTACGCTCTGCTATACTCCTGAAGTACGCTCTGCTATACTCCTGAAGTACGCTCTGCTATACTCCTGAAGTACGCTCTGCTATACTCCTGAAGACCCACATCTGCTGAACACTGACAACAAAAGCAGCTGCTTGCTTCCTCAGAGTAAAGAGACAAGACGCCCACGAATCGAAGGTGGCTCAGCTGTTTGTGTCTGCAGGGGCTGGACTGTTGGGGGGTGGGTGGCTCAGAAAGACAATCGGTCTCACTCACACTTTATCGGCGCCTCAAATGACTTGGCCACTGTTACCATAACGTTGGTCCCGAAAACCTATACAGGAAACAATTACAACACCACCTTTTAACAAATACATAATCACAGCTAATACGCTAACACCATTGGCTATCATTGTCAAGGTGCAGCTTTAATTACCTTATTAATTTTAAATGGCTGGATTATTTAAGTCAGAATCAGTATGCTGACCACCAGTCCATCAGCTAGAACCCTGAGAGACCCACACCACTCACGCCCAAAGTTAGCCTGAGACACGTGCCAACACCCGGCCGGCACGCTAACAGTTAGCGCCTCACGTTTGTGCCCAGATCCTGGTATGCTCACCCAGAACACGTCATAGATGAAGAGGCCGCCTAGTAGGATGCAGCCTGTGCTCACGTTGTTCAGATGCAGCAGCTCCACACCGTTCAGCGCGAACGCCAGCCCAAACAGGTTGTTGGCCACCCAGTGCTGCAGGGAGACAGAAGTCAGGCAGCACAGGACCACACGGGGCACACAAGAACACCTGCAGCCCATCTGCAAGGCTGCTCATTCCTGAAATTCAGCAAAACTGTACCAGACTTGAAGAACAGAACACACTATTGCTTCTGCTAGTTCCAGCTTTCCTGCAATGCATTGTGGGAAATATATGACATCATGTTTAATTGTTTACACTATGTTTGTTTCTCTGCACTTTAAGTTCTGGTGCATACAGCAGCAAGGTATTTTGCCTGGGATTAATAAAGTTTCTCAAACACAATGAGCAACAGCTGAAACCAAAGTACAGAGAGCCAGTTTCAGCGAAGGCACAGCTAGCTTCCATGTTTCTCAGTCGGCGTCCATGAAAATCCAGGATCCTGCACATTGACCTAAACATTTACTGACCAACTCAGTCCACAGCCACAAACTCCTGAATGATACACCGGACACCCATCACAGGTTACACATAGGTTACACATGGGTTACGCCTGACGCATTTACCTTTGTGAGGATATACCAGATTCCCACCACCGTGCTGATGCACAGACACACCAAGTCTTTCGTGTCAAACTCGTAATTGACGATTTCTGGGGAGAAAAGGAGAAGATCATGAAACACCCCCTCCACCCGATAGGGTCATCATGCCCATCAGCACAGCTCCAAAACAAACACATCCAACATCAGACAGTAAGGAGACAGCCCTCTAATTAAACTAACGGCAGGATGAAGTTCAGGAGGACCAGGCAATGTGCATAATGGAGGAGGTTTCAAACAGACTCTGACCTCAGTGTAGTTCCGGGCCACTAGATGGCGTGAGCCTTGGGCAGCCTGAGACATGAGTGTCAGCAACACTTACCCTCCCTGCCCTCCCCTGATCCCTGCGTGAAGAGCAGCTGGTACTGTCTGTTCGGCAGGTTGGCTGGAAATACACGGTTCATGAAAGGACTACAGGGAGAGATGGGAGGTGGGGGATTAGGCAGGACGGTCCGGGGGCTCGCAGGGCCGACAGCAGGCAAGGGCCAGAAACAGGAAAATGATCAGGACTCAGACTGACCTCATAGTGTGAGACAGTGCCAAAATGCCCAGCACGAAGAAGTACATGGAGAGTAGCAGGTTGATGTATTCTTGAGAGAAAACCTATGGAGAGACACTGATTTAAGCGGTGGTGGTGGCGCCGTGGAGTAGCCAGGTGAGCTGGGGGGGGGGGGGGGGGCCTCACCTTGAAGAAGAGATATAATCCAAAGAGCGTGCAGCTGGCGATGATGGGGAAGCGCGCCGCATCACGGCTAGTGATGGTCTCCGGCATGTCTGCGGAATTCTGGAAAAAAGGAGAGCGGCATCAGGGAGAACAGAATGGAGGGTCTAACCCACAAAGCACAACAGACAGCGTGTTAGTTCAAACCCCAGGTAACCGACGCTGCCTGGCTGAGGAAGGTGCTCATCTTTCTGCACTAAAAAAAATAAATTAGTAATGAAGCAAATGGACTTAAAATGGACAAGACTGCAGAATGCAGAGTAGCGCAGATCAAAGCCGAGCCACATCACATAAGGGGGGGGGCAGCCCCTCGGCCATGTGCTCCAGCACCACAGCTCTTCCAGGCACCACCTCTTGGACCTTTAAATTTACATGACGATTTCCCCACACCCCTCCAAATCAGACCAGGTTACTGAAGTCACTGGTGAATAAAACATGACCCCATTTCCCAGTTCTTACATGTCAGAGCGGACAGAGTGATGTGCTCCCAGCAGCAAACTGAAACATCACCTTTCAATTCACGCCACAGCGAATCCCTGGGGGCAGGGATTCATAATTAGCAGCTCATTCCTTAAATGGGCCAGACTTTCACAAAGAGAGACTAGAAAGAGCCAGTAACCATACCCCCCCCCCCCNAACAGAGTATCTGACAGAGGTCCTAAGTGGCAATCGGAGTCACAGCCAGTCAGTCAGTCATACCTCTCCACCTCATCACCTGACATGAAAAATAAAAGCCGGCATGTCCCCCAACCCCATTTACATGGCTCCCAGACACCAAGCCCACATTAAATGTTGCAGAAGGTTACACTACATGAACTATTAATGAAATGCACACTGGCCACTGTCCCCCCCAAATCTGCAAAAAGAATTGAATGACAGGGGGAAGCCGCTGGTTTCAGGTTATGCCAGCAGACATTAAACAGCGTTGGTCAAATTCATCCATAAAACCGTCCCATACACAGGCAGCGGTAAACATACCCACGACGCACTTTGAAAATGGAGAATTTAGAGAGAAAACCGAGGAGCGCAAACTGGGACAACACCAGCTTAGGCTCATTTGTAAAAGAGGAGGTTCTAGGACCCAGAAGTTCACTGCAATAAGAGCCCCCTGCCCCACTGCCGTCTGCACAGAAGTGCAAAACGGTCGCCCATATGAAAGAGTTAAATATAAAGAGGATTTAGGATGCGCATTAGTGGAATATCTCCAAAATCCCTATATTCCAAACATGCATGCACCTCGCAGGGCTCTGCGCTAAGTTCATGCAATCAAAACTATTCACGTGTACACAATAGTCCATTTAGTACCAAACATAACCAACTGGACCCAGGGAGGTCCCTGTATCATGTTCTTTCCCTCCCGAAAACACACGAGTTGACAACTTTGACTGACTGGAGCGAGATTTTCAATTCGAGACAAGTCTGCACACGCATTCACATGTATGGAACAGTTTTATTATCTTGAAAATAGTTTGTGGGATTTGCAAACTCATCGAACGCTTTTCCTGCAGCGCATTTTTTATGTTTTATAATGGAATAATATACATTTGCAGTGAGATTTCTTGCGTGAGCGCGAGAATCTCAAAGCATGAGTGTCACGCCAGATGCGTGTGTTGGCAACCCTGAAACGCTGTTACAGCGAGAGCAACATTCTTCATTTTTACCGTTGTCTAAATAAGCTCACTGCCCAGGTGAATATCCAAAAACAGCAGCCCGAATAAGCGCGTATTACAGCACTGCTAATGCTAGCAAGCCAGCTAATCTCAGCTGTCCCGGATCATGCACGCCGGAGTTCGCAGCAGGAGCTATCCCCGGCTTTGTACCTTGCTTTTGGCGCAGCTAATGGACCGAAGAGCGCCGAAGAAGATGGGAAGCAGCGCCATGAAGACCAGGCTACCGTATGCTAGCGCGGGGCCCTCTGGAGACGAGACGAACTTGGCCGCCGTGGCGTTCACGGCGTCGGTGCCGTTGGAAACTGTGGTGTTGAGGCCATCCAGCGACAGCGCGTCGTTCGCCAGCGCCGGTCCCTGCTCGACATCGGCCATATTCGCAGATGAGAAATGTGACGGAATCAGGTGAAGCTAAGTTGGTGAGCCGAGCTTCAAACGTGTTTAGCCGCTACCTCGGTCTCTTCCCGTTCACTACAATCTAAGGCCACATTTCTTAACTCCCACCTGGAACTGACGTCACTACCGGATTTTCCTTACCGCACGAACTAGCGGAAAGGTAGTGACGTACAGTATCCATAACAACCGGCATCGGCCATCGTCGAGAACGAGTATAACAGCCGCAGGTTCGCGAAACAGTTGAAGAAAAATATTTCCAGTGAGCCGAGTGTCAAACGTATTAACGGGTGCACCTGCCTTTTAACATTCGCTACAAGCCAATGCCGCATTTCCTAACTCTCAGCTGGAACCCGGCCGTGGTGCACGTTGCGAAGTGTTTTGCGTTTTCTACTTAAGATTAACTAACGTGGCCATATTTGCAAGCCATATATAGTCGTGGCTAATAGTTTTGAGAATGATACAAATATTAATTTTCACAAAGTCTGCTGTCTCAGTTTTTATGATTGCAATTTGCAAATACTCCAGAATGTTATGAATAGTGATCAGATTAATAGCAAAGTCCTTCTTCGCCATGAAAATGATCTTAATCCCAAAAAACCCATTTCTGCTGCATTTCAGCCTCACCACAAAAGGACCTGCTGACATGATTTCAGTGATTCTTGTTAACACAGGAGAGAGTGTTGATGAAGACAAGGCTGGAGATCACTCTGCCATGCTGATTGAATTAGAATAGCAGACTGGATGCTTTAAAAGGAGGGTGGTGCTTGAAATCATTATTCTTCCTGTGTTAACCGTGGTTACTTGCAAGGAAACACATGCAGTCATCATTGCTTTGCCAAAAAAGGGCTTCAGAGGCAAGGATATTGCTGCTAGTAAGATTGCACCTAAATATACCATTTATCAGATCATCCAGAACTTCAAGGAGAGAGGTTCAATTGTTGTGAAGAAGGCTTCAGGGCACCCAAGGAAGTCCAGCAGCGCCAGGACCACCTCCTAAAGTTGACTGGGCTGTGGCATCGGGGAACCACCAATGAAGAGCTTGCTCAGGAATGGCAGCAGGCAGGTGTGAGTTCATCTGCACAGACAGAGGGGCGAAGACTTTTGGCCTGGTGTCAAGAAGGGTGGCAAAGAAGCCACTTATCTCCAAGAAAGACATCAGGAATGAACTGATATTCTGCAAAAGGTACAGGGATTGGACTGTTGAGGACTGGGGTCAAGTCATTTCCTCTGATGAATCCCCTTTCTGATTGCCTGGAAAAGAAAAGGTGAGTGCTACCATCAGTCCTGTGTCATGCCAACAGTAAAGCATCCTGAGACCATTCATGTGTGGGCTCACTCACAATTTTGCCTAAGAACACAGTCATGAATAAAGAATGGTACCAAAACATCCTCTCTGAGAGCAACTTCTCCCAACCATCCAAGAACAGTTTGGTGACGAACAATTCCTTTTCCAGCATGATGGAGCACCGTGCCATAAGGCAAAAGTGATAACCAAGTGGCTTGGGGAACAAAACATCAAAATTTTGGGTCCATGGTCGACTCCCCAGACCTAAATCCCATTGAGAACTTATGGTCAATCCTCAAGAGGCAGGTGGACAATTATAAACCAATAAATTCTGACAAACTCCAAGCATTGGTTATGCAAGAATGGGCTGCTGTCAGTCAGGATTTTGCCCAGAAGTTGATTGACAGCATGCCAGGGCAAATTGCAGAGGTCTTGAAAAAGGGGCAACACCGCAAATATTGACTCTTTGCATAAACTTAATGTAATTGTCAATAAAAGCTTTTGACACTTATGAAATGCTTGTAATTATTAGGGGTGTAAATCACAGCTTTCCTTGTGATACGGTACAATATCGATTCCTTGAGCCAACGGTTCGTTTTTTTTTCATACCTCAGAAATTCCGACGATATGATTCGATTTAGCTCGATACTGGGGTTAATAGTCGAAATGATGAAATTTCACGCAATCCTTTACAATTCAGTGAATTAAAAAGGGCAAATGTGATTAGCATTTTATCATATTTTATTAGGAACTGTAAACAAAATCTAGTGCAGTCAAGTATGTCCCATAAAACAAGCAAAATTAAGTGCATAAGTGGTAAAAATAAAAAACACTGCATGGACAGACATGTAGAATGGGGAAGATTACCATGACTGACTTATGCGGTGAAACAAGTATTCAGTAGTCTTCTTTGAGAGGTTTTTTTTAAAAGAAAAATTAAATGGTCAACGTGTTCAGGAGATTGTGTGACCTGAGCTTAGCGTCCCATGTCACCTGCCGTAGGCTACTAAACACACGCTCTGAAGGTATACGCTAGCTTGCGAGCTACTTATAAATTACCAAGTTAGAATGATCTACCTACTATAAAAATGCAAAACATATATTTATGTATAAAAATATTGCGTATTCTTTATTTTTATTATTATTAATTTCCCTTTGGGATGAATAAAGTATTTTTGAATTGAACTGGGATTTTAGTTCCTTCACCTTTCTAGTTAATGTAGTTTTTTATTAACAGTCCGAAAATGCCTCTCCACATTTCCCTTCTTCGGAATAGCAATGGTAGACTGACAGATGAGGCAAATGCACTTCAAATATGACATGGTGGAAAAAAACAGTCCTCCCATTCCGTATGGAAGTGGTAGGTTTTTGGCTTCTTATTTGGTCCAGCTCCCCCATTCATTTTTATACCCTTTCTTAAGTTTAGTAGAAATAAATTGGAACCTAACTAGGCGACTCGGTCACTTGCTGTCGTTTTGCAACGCGTCATCCATCCTGCGTTTTTTATGCCATGCGATCTACCCACACTACCTTTGCGATCGACCAGTAGATCGCGATCGACGTATTGGGCACCCCCGGTGTAGACCATGTATACGGCGATCGGAGTCGATCTTGAAAACAGTACTGGAACCGGCGAGAAAAAAAAAAACGCTTGCATCGACATTTATGCAGTCACGTCGATGCATCGATCGGATCGTTTGCCGTTGAATCGATACAAATCGATGCATTGTTATACCGCTAGTAATTATGCTTCAGTATACCATAGAAACATCTGACAAAACCCATCTACAAACACTGAAGCAGCAAACTTTGTGAAAACCTGTACTTGTCATTCTCAAAACTTTTGTCCGCAACTGTACTCATCGTGTAAACTTGTTACCTGAACGATCGATCAGTTAAGGGTTTACCTGAGGCGCCTCCTTTCCATATTTAGAAATTATTTCCAGAGGTGAGTTAAGGTAAGCACACATAGTATAAGGGATATTTTTAGCTTAACGTTTTATTGTGAAAAGTGTGCCTTGTGATTAATATTTATTCAAAAATGAATAGGCAGCATTTTGAGGTATGGACTCAGGGTTAGGCATTATGCGTGCTGGTGTGTCATCTGAGCATACAAATAAACACACACAAATGAGACACATGAAGCCCAAAACATTTAAATAGAAATTTGTATTTACATCAATATTAACATCAAGGAACAAGAGAACAAACGCAATTGTAATTTACATCCTGGTATTATGACAACATATTCAATTGCTTTTTTATTTAACCAAGACAACGCCAAATGAAAACTTGGCTTTTTCAAATCTCAAGAATCAAAGGCATTAGCACAGACTAATGTTGTGCTGGATATATCCTTTTTTCACTTCACCAAGACAAAAATCTAGACAATTTCATGAAGTAATTAAAGAATTTGTAGATCCTTACCATCAGTCAACTAAAAAAAAAAAGTTTCCCTTCTGGAAAACATCAAGTTACACAAAGACAGATTTGTCTAAAACATTTAATTTGGATGATTCTCCTAGTCAGTTTAATTGTACTTGTATCCACATTGACACCTTTATCAAATAGTCTGGAAAAATTACAATTTCCCTGTGATGCTACAGAAAGTCACCCACTGGCCATCAGCTGTTAAAGAGATTAAAAGAAACACACTTATCTGCAGATCAGAACCTGGTGTTTTCTTGTAAATATTACACAATACAAAATGTGTTTGTGTGTGATACGCATCTCCAGGTGCATATCAACATGTGAGTACAGGGTGAGCCAGAATATATCTGGGGAGTCTTTGGATTGTGCAGATCTTACCAAAAAATTAATGGGGAACAGTTGGCCAGCGCCCCTTATATTCCCTCTTATGTACTGCCCCAGTTCTGCCTTTGCCTCAGGCTTCTTACCCATAAACAGACAGCTGCAGCCCCAAAGCTGTCCCTAGACTCTGCTGTACTTTTAGGTTGTTCCATAATCACAAACAAGATGAGTGAGAGGACCAAGTTCTCCTTGGTCTGGCAGAGCCCCAGCTGTTCCGTTAACACCCCCCCACTCCCATATTTCTTTCAGGACAGTTGTTTTCCAGCTCGATGAAGCTGTACAGGGACGATGGATTTTACCTCAGGGCTGTGCCCACATAACAGAAGGTAAATAACATCTAAACAAAACGGCGTGAGAGAGTTTGTAACTGTGCAGTAGAGCACTTTCAGAGATCATCTTCCTACAGGGAGCAGGCGGGACCTGTCTCCCTTTTCATGCTGCCGTGTTTAGAATCTTTGTTTTTAAAACCGAACAATTTAAACTCAAAATATAATAAGAAGCACCACTTTACAAATCAAGGCTGTTTTGTCAGAAATGGGGGAAAGAGTTTAGAAATAAAAGTGCAGTTCTCGAAAAAGATGGCTGATTTACTGCTGAGGAATAAGTCAAATATGAAAATAGGAATAATCCACCCCCCCCCCCTCACTTTCTCCCAAGCAAAACAATAAAAATAACAAATAAAAGCTGAATTGACCTAAAAGAAACAGAATAAGAAAAGTATACTTTAAATATTAAGCATTACAATTTGTGCAAAAACAGTATGTTACCTACAAAAGCAGATATACATTTCAAGCGTATTTACAATCTATATTCACAGACAGGAAAATTCCAGATTTGACATCACATGTAATACTGCAGTACCTTTGCTCTGAATTGATGATTCTCCATTTCTATCAGTCTACAAGCATAGAAGGAAAGTTTATTGCTTAAAACTGCATAATAAAAGGAATATCTGTGCTTACTTGCCATTACTTTTTTTTTTTTTTTTTATTAAAGTCCTGTTTAAAAAGATTCTTGAATAAGGCTATAATGACTAAGAAATATTGCAACAATCCTTTCAACATTAGCCTTTCTGTAAAGTGCAATCACCACTAAAACGTTAATTCTTTTTGTGTACCGTAGCCCATCGGGGGCCAAAGCAAAGAGCGTTTCTGCACAGTGAAGACTACACACTGCATGACTGCTACACTTTTGTACATGTGAAACAGAGCCTCTTCATCGCAGGATCAAGACGTGTTCTACACATTGCAGGCGGAGGAGGAACCACCTCCATCCTGCAGGAGAGCGAGCTTCCTGCTCCTCCAGAACACCCACCGACAGGTAAATAAATAGATCTTGAGGATCAAAGGCTAAAAGCATTCGCACCACACAGTCTGTCCCATTTACAGAAGCTTTCGCTCAGCAGCCGATGTGCTGAGGGTGAGGGGGGGGGGCTGTCCCGGCTGCAAAGAGGCGGCATCCAGATGTAGCCCCGCCCACAACCAGGCCTTGTGAAGCACCCAGACACCACTGGGGTCTCTGCTGGGTTCACAGTGAGGTTTCCTCCCATGTGTGCTGGGGGCATCAACAGTACTTCTGTGAAAGAGGGAGGAAGACCTGGGTTCAGAGCCCTGATTACCAAGATGCGAGGAGAGAAATCCATAATGGTAAAGGCCACCTACTGTCCTTACTGTCACTACATGACAACAATAAGGCCACATTTCCCTGGGGACATGCATCCCCTCCCTTAATGATTTTAATGATCCAGAGAATGTGCCTTGATGGGGTGGGGGGGGGTTCTGAAGGGGACACCTACTTGTTCGGGACCCATCTGCATCCTGCCCATGACCATAGGGTTCACGCCCATCTGGCCCGGCATCTGGCCCATGTTGGCAGCGCCGGCGCCCCCGCCGCTGGGCATGGAGCCGTTCATCATCATTCCACCATAGGGCGACATGTTCCCCTGCTGGCCAAACTGCTGCTGAGGGTAGGAGCTGCAACGGGAGGAATCATTGTGCAGATTAGGCCCCGTGCGGGTGAGTAATACTGGTCTCGAGGGCAGGCG